GGGAGGCCCTAAGTAATGGGGGGGGAGGGGGGGTAACTAGTGAAATAAAATAGTTCACTTCCCACTGTCTTCTCTATGGATGTGTATAATATTGAGTGTGTGTCTGGCCCTGCTGTCTCCTAGCTGTTAGCAGAGTGTGACTATTACTATGAGTATGGACTGTCTGACCACAGCCGTGTATCACACTAAATAAAGTTATTTCACCAACACCTCTGCTTCCCCAGGGGGTCCTGGGGCTGCCTCTGCTTCTTTTCCTCCTAGTCTGACCTGCATAGGGTGGGGTTGGGCCCCAAGGGTGATGGGGGTCTAGGCTATGGCACTGACCTTCCTTGGCAGTGATGTCCTGCTCCTGCAGTCTGAGGGATGTCACCACCCTGGTGGCCCCACTGTGTGAGGGGGTGTGACAGGATCCCCTTCCCCACTCCCCTGCCAGCCCCTTCCTCCCTGGGGGGGTGTTCAGCCTTGCTGGGTGCAGGTTTTGGGGTGCAGAACCTGTCCTCAGCCACCAGTGCTCTGCAGAGTGCCACATCCTGGCCGTGCTGGTGCAGGGGGTGTAGGATGATCTGCACAACATCCAGGATTGAGGGAGGTGGGACAGTGACAGCACCTGGCTGGTGACAAGGCTGAGGTGTGCTACTGCACCTGAGGGGGACAGGGGGTGAGACTGACACCAAAGTCCTGGCTTGTGTCAGAGGGGCACCTTATTTGCAGCAGTATCAGCTTCATCCAACGCCTGGAGAGTGAGCATGCTGGGCTAAGTGACCCTCCTGTTGAGATCTTAGGGGCTGGAGGGTCTTGTTAGGGGCAAAATGCTGCCCTAGGGCTGGTCAGCTGCAGGAGTCAGGGCCAGTCCCTTGGGCAGGACATGGTGCTGGCTCCTTACAGCTAAGCCAGCCTCCAGAGTGCAGCAGCCTGCCCAGACAGCAACACCCTCCAGTGCCTGGGATAACTGAGATGCCAGAGCCCACAGCATCCTGGAGCTCAGGAGCTTTAGGAGATTCCAAGCTGAGTGGCAGAGCTGTGCTGGAGGGCTCTTTGGTGTCTGAGTGGAACAAGGACAAAGGGTTTCAGTAGAGGAAGTTTTATTTTCACAGTCCTGGCACCACCAGGGGATCTGGGCAAAGAGAAGATGGTCCCAAGGAGTTAAATCAACCTCCTGCCTTTCTCTCTAGGGGGCCCTGAGCCCCTCCTTCAGCAGCCAGAAAAGAAATGGAGTAGGTGTTAATGGTGGCTAGATGAGAAATGAGACCTTCCTAAGTTTCTATGATTGCCTCCCTGCTCCTGATGAGATGTTGAAGGACCCAGGCAAGGTCTGTGTGAAACGCCCTGCCTGGCAGCAGCACCAGGCACAGATCCCTTGGTGGATCCCTGGGTGCCCCCAGCAGAACCAGCTTCCCCTCCTGGTGGTGCAGCCAACTGCTCCTGGCTGGAGCCAAGGACAGAGGACATGACACTGGGGGTGTCACTGCAGGGGGTCAGGGTCCTCAGTGGGTTACAGTAAGGGGTGGGGAGGGGGTTTTAAGGACAATCTCAGGGTTTGAAGGTGACTGTGGATCCAAGCACACCAACTGGTGCTGGCCCAGAGCACAGCCCTGGGGTGAGTTGTGCTCAGGGAGTGACCTGCCAGTGTCACCTGCTGTGCCTCACACAGTTGGGTCTGGGGCTGTTACCATCACTCCAAAAGGTCAAGTTTCCTGGCTGCTTCCCCAGCCAGGGAGCTTCTCACTGGCAAACCAAAGCTGCTCCAATGCTCCTGACTCTAGGCCTCTCTTTTGCAAAGTGCTAAAAAAATGTAAAATACTGCAATGTTGCTGGACCTGTTGTTTTCCCAGCTGGAATTGGTAACCACTCCTGTTTGTCCTTTCAGTTCTGAAGGATGGACTGTGGTGGCCAGTAAAAACCCTGGCAATTAAAATACCCAAGACATGAATGTGGCTTGGGGAAAGAATCCTCTCTTTCCTGTTATCTGAGCCAGTGTCAGCACGATGGCGCTGCCAAGGCTCCCACTCATTACCTGAGTCATGGCAGGGAGGCAGCTGCC